AAACTAGCAGCATCATCCAGTACATCACGTCACCATAGTGAAGAGTAGAACATAGATCGATAAATAAATAACACAAAACATTTTGATTTCATTGCCTAAAACATATGGATTAAGGTTTCTCTGCACCCTTACCTGTGCTGCCATAAGTGATAACTCCATAATCCCTGCAGGGTCAGTGATTGCCAGCCTGAGTGTTTAAAGAGAGCGTTAGAGAGTTACGATGATGGCAAAAAATGCACAGGAGAAGAGCACAAGGAGAGTCTCAAAAACTGCAGTGCTGTGCTTCCAGGGAAGAGAGCTGTATGAGAATGTGCTACATAATGTCACAAAGAACGCTTTTCATGCTTCATGGAAGAGTGTATTCACTCACAGCCCATCTCTCCCTCTCTCTCTCCCCCCCTCTCTCTCTGTACTGTATAGATGTATAAGTTGGGCTGTGTGTGAAGGGGTAAACTTGCATTTTACACATGCAATCATGCTAACACTTGCAGAATTATTGATGCTTGTGTGGCTTTTGCATTTCAGATGTTTTTATATTGTCATCCCTCATATCTTCATGTGACCATATTCTTTGAGATGAACTTTGTAATCCCAGAGGTAAATACTTAAATAATTAATCTCTATCAAAAAGATTGTTCCTTTTTATATGTTCGTTCATTCATCTTTGTCTCTTATATCCACGCGATGTTCATAAAGGTTTAATACATTTTAACTAAGGGCTTTATTATGATCAATAATTAATTTACAAATGTTTTATAGATCACTTACAATGCATTAATAACCATAACATGGTTTGAAACGATTTAAAAGCTTCCTTTGCTGGTGTTCGTTCCCATTGAGCAAATCAGCAAATCAGCAAGGGCAGCATTAATCCATTAGCAAGTCCATTTATTAAAAGGACACTAACATGTTAATAGGTGGACTTGATGGAATATTGACACATTTTTATAAAGAATGCATTCTATGCAATCCTATGCATCCTTTCGTGTTCTAATAACAGCCAGGAGAGACTGTACAAAAGGTGCGCTGTTCACAACATTATCACACCTGGGGCTTACTGGGGTAATTGAAATCACATGTCCACTTGTGCAGCAGCCTCACATGTGAAGAGTCTTAATTAGTGATTGGATGCACCTGTGGAGGTGAGCACACTAGAGAAACTCAACATGCAAGTGTCACTTTGTACGGAAAAAAGTTATAGATGGATTGAAATGTCTACATAAATACTTTTTGTGTGTTGGCCCATCTATGAGTCAAAAAGATTATTCTTCATGAAGTGTTTGAACTGAAGAAACTCTTGAGCCTCTTAAAAGTCCTCCTCACTACTCCTAACAGAGCTCCTTAGGAGCGCTCAACAGCTAAGACTGTGTGAATAACTTTGATCTTTAAAAGGAACTTGCCTTAACTTTAAGGGGAAATTCTTAGAAAATGTCCTGATGTCCTGAAGAATTTTCTTTTGGACGTGTAAATTGATATAGAATGTATTTGAGAGCTTCATTTGTATTATGCCCTTCATTGTTTGTACAGATGACTTTCTTTCCTGTCTCCTTTTTTAAGTTTTCTTTTCTTTTTTCTTTTACATCTCCGAAATTAACTTCAAACTCTTAGAGCTTAAGAGTCTTCATGAAAACAGCCCCAGCTCTTTTTGAACAGAACCTTGCCCACACTTCATAGATACACAGAAATAGAGTCATGTGGTGTAACCCTTCATAATGACACCTCAAACACTCCTGGGAAGTTGTAAAATGTGTTCTTGTGAATTTCTTATAACTTCTTCCCCTAGTAAACACAGTCTAAATGACAGGGGTTTTGATTTGGGGAACTAACTAAACCCTGTACTTTTTATAAAAGAGTTCAAAATAAGTGAGCCTTGGGTTTTGTAAGGCGCTAGAAGAACATAGCCGTCTAAAAACCACAATTGATTCTATGAAAATGATAGACTAACATAAACTGGAGCCAAACAAAAGAGAAGTGGGTGTCAATGTTTAGGGGGGTAGAGGAAGGAGTCACAAATGGAGTCACAAATGGCTGAAAGAAGCCTATTTGTCCAATTCATAGTGTTAGAGGATAATTTAAAAATAGTTAGCAGATACAAATGTGCCTGTTGACTGTCTCAAACGCCTTCTTTCATTCACAGAATCAGTCACTTGTCTATTTTAGGTTTTGATGTTTACCGTTCGCACTCACGGTAGTAGTAGTTTGCTTAAAGACATCAATAATTAGGTGCAGTGTTGAGATGAGTTGCAAGCTGTTCATTAAAACATTTTCCTGCTATTTTGGAGAGGACTGTTAAGATGCTAATAGACCCGTGATTACACACATTAAAATAGGTTCTTTGATTTATGAGCCAGTTGTCTTCAGATGACTTTAAAAGCTTTGGGGAACTTCCCCTCTTTAATAGAGGCATTAATTATAGTTATCAGTCGAGAAAATGAGCTTGTATGCCATCACTGAGCGGATAGGATGAGATATATCAAAGGATGATGAATCTATGATCCAACACCTCTACTCTAAGCTCAGTCTTTCCTGAAAGCACTATAACCACTGAGAGGTTAGCAAGAAGATGCATTCCTTATTAAAAATCTGTTTGTATGTAATGTACGCATTGATTTTCTTCTGATGTCTTAATCACAGTCATTCTCTGTGTTAATGTATTTCCTTTGTCTATTTTTATGTCACTTTTTTTGCAAAATATTGTACCTAACAGGTCGAGACAGAGCTCCACTTCCTTAAATCTTGCCCCAAATATCAGGCTTTATCAGGCTTTGACACAGGAATACTTCCCCCTAATTACACACATACATCCTGAATTTATACAGGCAACACACATACAAAAACTCCATATCTGCTGGGAAAATAAAAACTAATTGGGAGATTATAGCTGCAAACTTTATACTAGCCTGTCAGGACCAGAGGACAACCAGAGGAACCTGCACGTGCGCACACAAACACACACACACACACACACACACACACACACACACACACACTCACTTTTCCATTATCTATGGCTGTAGCCCATGAATCCAAAGGTGCGTTTAAATTTTGAGGATTATTGTTTGTTGGCCAACGCTAACCTGACCTGACCAGCTACTGAAACTGTTGTTTTGTAGCTCTGTAGGATTCAAGCTCGTTCATTCAAGAGAGGCCCTCTTGTGTAATTCTGTTTGTGTGTATCACTTCACAATCAGGGATCTTGTGTGGTCTACAAAGTGCATTTTCCTGTTGGGAAAAACAAATGGCCTCACGGATTGGAAATAAAAAAACTCACAAAAAATAAACCACATTAGCCACACACAAAAGTTACAGCCAAGCAGAAATGCATGAGCAGGTCTCTGCGTGAAATGAGCTTGTCTCAGATGTTGAATGTAATTTCCAAAGACAGATTCACCCCAAGCCACTTCTGTATCTCTAATGTGACAGCACACCAAGCTGTTAACTGTAGACCTCTATTGTACTCTGTGGCCTTTGGAACAATTACTGCTGCATGAGGAAACCCCTTAAAATAGTCTGTACTCTGCTCTTTGTTTGTGTGTGTGTGTGTGTGTGTGTTTGTGTGTGTGTGTGTGTGTGTGTGTGTGTGTGTGTGTGTGTGTGTGTGTGTGTGTGTGTGTGTGTGTGTGTGTGTGTGTGTGTGTGTGTGTGTGTGTGTGTGTGTGTGTGCGTGTGGTCTTACAAGGGAGAGAAAAGGACTGTACATTAATGTTCATGTACATGAGCATGTATGCATGTATTTGTTAGGGCAGAGTGCTTTCATGCAGTGTGTGGCTCTTTTACGCACAGTGCAGGACATTTCAGGAGAGATGGTCATTTTCCCAGAGGGCCTTAGAGTCCAGCTGTCAGCAGATTGTGAGCCAACAGAGATGAAACAAAGGTAAGAAAATGACTAATATGCACCGATAGACAGGAAAATGGAAGGACTTTTGTTTAATTATTTTCCTTTTCCATATATCTTTAGTTCAGTTGCTCAAAAAATTTGTTCTCAAACTACATTTTTGTTCTGATCTGCACTGTACGGTACAATTTGAATGACAATAAAGAAAGTCTTGATGGTTGAAAGGTGATGTACGCAGTCTGGATCATTTGTGTGTGTGTGCTTTTTTAGTTTATGATTCTTTACACATCCACTTCCCATCTGACTGAAACAGCTCTTTGACATAGATTGTAAAACCCTCTGGGGTCACTATAAACACAAAGACGCTCTCTTAAAGGACCCAAAGGCTTCACACAGATACACAAACGGCTAACCTACTTTCAAAAGCTGCTCTTCGTCAGCTTATTCTCCGCACAGAAGTGGTTGACTATGTAGGGAACAAACCATTAATATAAATGTCTAAACCATAAAATACATTCTGTTTCTAAAGTAGCTCATGAAATGGAAACAAACGTATACGGTGGACTGGCTCCTGTCAGTATTAAAATATTGGTGGATCGTTGCATTGATGGATTTTCCAACTATTAATGTTGTACAGTAGTAGGCCTAGTTGTGGAGCATGTTTTAGTTCTGCTTGATACCTCTATAATGTAGTGGGGTGTATTATAAAGCCATTGATTAGATGAGGACAAGTATAAAGTAGCACATTAGACATTAGAAATGCATGGAACTGTATGCACAACTTGAGTAAATTCACATGTTAACACCAGACCAGAGTGGAAAATAAAGAGAAATGTGAGGTTTGTCTGTTCAGAAAATATTTTTTATGCTCAGCTTGGATGTAAGAAGTTCAATGTAGAACAAGATAAATGTAGCTGAAAAGTTTTTTGGGGGAAAAAAAAACAAGGAGCAAAAGTTAAAAGTAAAAGTAAAGAAGAAGAAAATGAACTGGTTATCTTGTAAAAGATAAAATTAATGAATTACGTTTTTGAAAGAAACACAAATAAAAGACATAATTGAGGCGCTTGTGTTATTTTTTTACTGCCTATCTTGTTCCAGTAGGTGGCAGTAGTGCACCTTCAAGCTGGTTGTCTACCAATAAACCCAAAAGAAGAAGAAGAAGTGGTTCACTTCCGAGTACATTTTATGAATGACTCCAACTTCCCTCTGTGTAGCTTACTGACTTACTCGAAGAAACTGCATCTCAGTACACTTGGTTTACCTGAGGCTACTACCACCATCAAGTTAGTGCAAATGGACTATACTGCAACTCAGAGTGGCTTCAGACAGCGTAAGTTACGTACGTACGTGATTTTATCCATCAAATCGTCCATTTATCTCTCCGGCTTCTTGAGCACAGCTTGTTCTTTGCTAGCTGTCAGAAAACGTAAACTGAGCTTCATCATGCTGTGGGTGAACGCCGCTATTTTTAGGCCGGTTGAGCCTTACACAACATGTCAAAACAAGGAGACCAACAACTTTAAATAAACCATAAAGACAACAAACACCAGCTGATAAACGCTCAGTAGCGTTAACAATGTAGGCTGTGTGCACACCTTTCTGTGTGGAGGTCTCTGCCATGTTACTGTAGGGTATTCTTATATTTCAGGATGTTTAAGCATCATATTTACTTTAATACATTCACTTAGCATGCTGTAGCTCTATAAGCATTTATCTGGGTCTTGAAGGTTACTGGGGTTCAAATGATTTCATCTTTAAGTAGAAAATCTTAATCAATTTTAGAGTAAAGACATCACAACAGAATGTCAGATTGTAAGCTTAATAGTTTGTTTGTAGTCGTCATTATACTTTTATTTGCCATCAGAGAGGATACAGAGGAGGTCCACAGTCAAAGTGTTGTATCCTTTTTAGGATGACGTAATCTGTTGTTAGATAAGAGGGTAATGTCATAACTCCTTCAGAGGATAGTCATGAGATCTTTCTATGGCACACAGTATTCACAGAGGGATTTCTGTGTAGTTGGACACAACTTCTTTATTTTGTTTACATAATAACTTAAGTTGTAAGTTTTGATGTTAAGTGATTCTCTAAAAGTACACCTCACTGTTGATTTAGTTTAGTCTGTTCAGCTGTTTAACATCAACCATTAAAAGCATGTCATAGTCCACAGTGCCACCAGTGTTGGTGATCGACTGGTCTGATGTGTGCGGGCTGCCTTGCAGGTTCTCGCCTTTTGTTGGCGTATGTACGTCTAACCGCTGTCTCTATCATCCAGAGCCTAATATGCGTCAAAGGAATAGCTCCATGGATGGTTCAGAAGGCAGCCAGCTGTTCGAGGACACAAGCAGAGCTGCACCGGGAACACAAGCGGGGTACAGGTGGGATACATTTAATACGTTTTTACAATAGCGGCTTAATGCGTGGTTACAAACATACCTGTTATTGATCTTGACTTTAACGAGGGCATGTTCTGTAATCACATTTTGGCTAGTAATGTGACATCATGGAAGAAAAAATAGGCTGCCTTTTTAATCACACAGATAATTTCATAAAATTTCAATTTTGATCTTCAGTGAAGAAAAGGTACTTAACTATCGGGATGTTGTCATGATGTAAAAGTCTATGACAGTCTTTTGTACAATCTTTCATCTATAGATTTGGCTAAATTTGTTATAATTTTTTTACTGATTCATCCATCATATTGTTTACATTTTTTTTTACCTCCTGTTACCAGCAGTAACCAGCAGGCTGGACCTCAAGCAGCTGGATTTCCTGGCCAGTCCATCCTGTCAGACCCCATGTCTAACCTGGCCATGGCGTACGGCAGCTCGCTGGCTTCCCAGGGGAGGGAAATGGTGGACAAGAATGTAAGAAATATTCAAAGACATTCCTGTGGAAAGATGTTAAAGGCGTCCCCCGAAACAGTCAGGTCAGGAGCAGAACGCCACATGGAATGATAACATACATCTAATCACCCGTCTGTGTTTCTGTGCTTGCTTTTTCAGCTGGACAGATTCCTCCCAATTTCTAAGCTCAAATACTACTTTGCTGTGGATACAGTGTATGTGGGGAAGAAGCTAGGCCTTTTAGTTTTCCCTTACATGCATGAGGTAAGTCTTACAGCTGCTAAATGTTAATTATTGTGTCATCACTTTGAGGTTATCTTGTGTCTGTGGAAATAGTTTTCCCTTGATGTCTCTGAGCTTCTCGTTGTGTGTGACGTGTTGTAGTTCAGATTTTTGAAAACACGATTTAGACCCCAGAATAAACAGCATGTAACATACTGTTGTTTTAAGTGTACTTTTACCCTCTGCCAATCTTTTGAGTATTGGAGATGGAGCTGAACACAACCAGGAACCTATTTAAAGGTCCATATTATGCTTTTTCTGGTTTTATATGCCCTGTGCATGTTTAGGCACATCTGTTTGCAAAAATTCAAAGTCCGAGGAAACGCGGCTTCTCCTACGTCCTCCTGTTAGCTGTAGCATTAGCCGCACGTAACGCTCAGTTCTAGCCCCCTCGATAAAAATTGTCAGTGCGGCGTCATTGTCAGTGTGAGATCACTGATCTAAGCCCATTGGCTCGTTGTGGAAAGCCCTGCAGCTCATGTTGAAATTTCCGAGACGCGTGCTGAGCAACTGACCAATAACGACAGAGCGGATCGGCAGACCAATCAGAGCAGACTTGTCTAACAGTGGGGCTCAGCAGAGCGTAGCTGACAGACTCAGAGCGTAGAGGGAGTAAGGAGGAGCAGTACATGAAAACAGACACTTTTTTGGACTTCAGCTATTGTGAACATACAAAAGTAGGTACATAGATTAAATATACGAACCCCAAAAAGGGCATAATATGGGCTCTTTAACTTTGAAAGTCAAAGATAAAATATTCAGGTCTTGACCTCAAAACTGCACACATGTTTTAAGCCTCAAGTTGATTGATATAGCAGGTTGTAAGTGTGTAATCCTGATTGTGTTGTAGAACTGGGAGGTCAGCTATCAGCAGGACACTCCTGTGGCTCCACGCTTCGATGTGAACGCTCCGGATCTCTACATCCCCTCCATGAGCTTCATCACATACGTCCTGGTGGCTGGACTGGCCCTCGGCACACAGAACAAGTACATATAGATCTTTGATTTGACAAATGTGGTTTTGAATGGAGTAGAATAGAAAAGAATAGATGTTCATTCATCGTTATTTGCCCATGTACTTTGGGATTTTTGTACATTTCTTCTAGAGTCTGCTTTTCTAACATTTAAAATATAAAATATAGAAATGAATAAAAGATAAAACAGAAGAAAACTTACGCTGTACAAAAACTACAACTTTGTATTTGATTTGAGTCTTTAGCAGTGTGCAGCTCGTCTGTAGTTATTTTTGTTTTGATATCTTCTCAAATCACCACATGCCGTCATAAGTCTTTGAGCTTTGTAATTGTTCTACTCAAGTGCCTTTTTTCTGCATATAACCATATAAATCTATTCAGTGGCTTAAATAATAGTTCTAAACTTAACTAGTAAATTCACTTCTGCTGGAATTACATAAGAAAATATTACAGACTTTTTATTTTTTTTTTTTTTGCACGCTCTGCAGGTTTTCCCCGGAGCTGCTGGGAGTTCAGGCCAGTTCAGCTTTGGTGTGGCTGATCATGGAAGTCCTGGCCGTCCTGCTGTCGCTCTACCTTGTGACCGTTAACACAGACCTCACCACCATAGACCTGCTCGCCTTCTCTGGCTACAAATATGTAGGGTATGTACACCTCATGTCAACATTAACAGGTTTCTCTAATCACTCAAGCTGAATACTGTTTTCTTTTTCAAAGTGAATGTTTATTCTGGACAACACTGACCTTTAAATCTTATATCTAATGTGTTGTGTGTGTGTGTGTGTCTTCAGGATGATCATAGGCGTGGTTGCAGGCCTGATGTTTGGGAGGCCAGCATATTATCTCTCTCTACTCTGGTGTTGTGCTGCAATTTTTGTCTTTATGGTGAGTAGCAGCATCTACAAATCTTAAAAAATGTCATCCACTGATTAGAATAAACAGATTCCCTGATTACAAATAATGAATAATTTGAGTTCCACCAAGTGAATAAGTGGCATGTGTACTTTAAACTGAAGGTCCTAAAAGCAGGGTTCCCACTCGTCCTGGAAAACCTGGAAAACAGTTGACTAATTGTCCAGTACTGGAAAACACCTGGAAATTGAGAGAAAAAGTCAAATGTCCTGGAAAATCACGTGTTGTCCTGGGAAATTATTCCAACACTCTCCTACAGGGTTGGACATTTTTACAGCCACACGTTAATAAAAGTAGCGATGTGTTACATTAATCCACAATGCAGATTGAATCGACGTCCATAGATAATGTAATGGCTCCGTCTCCCCCTCGTGTCAAAAGCTGATATTTATTAAGCCTACAATTTATTTGAGAGGATGTAGTGAAAAGATTCTTCACAAAAAGAGAAACAAACACCACGAGAGTGAATTGTAGCAACAACAGGTAGACTTGTGTTTTATCCTCGGTTTGAGGTCAGCACATTAACAGTAGTTAGTTAACGTTATTGATGACGTGCTAACTTGCACTGAACCTCTCTCTCTAGCCGGTCTTTATTGCTAACCTAGCTGCTGTCTCACTTCCAAGACTGTGTTCTGCTATGACTTTGTGCCTGACAAAAGTGAGAGTTAAATACAACCATTTCACATGTTTGACAAATGTCAATTGGCAATGTTTCTAAACTGCAGATCGGGAAAGATAACCGCGTCACATGTGAAAACAATGTGTTCATATGCACAATGGATAGGTAACCAACTGTGTCAGTCAAACACGGGCCGAATACTGGCTAATGGTCCTTTTTACTTTGCTAGCATTGTCTCTTCAAATGCAATACTGCGTTGTTAAGAAGTGGCTGACAGGCTAACTGGCTTCTTTTTAGTTGAACTAGTGCCATCATGACTTACGCTTTTCTCTCAACAGAACCATTACTCATAGCCATTACTCACAGTTGTGTCTGGGTTATAGAACGGCATATGTAAGGATAAAAGGGTCACACCGGGCCGACAGTGTTTATTATTGGAAGTGTAAAACTGACATAATCCAGCAGTTGGCGATAATTCTAATGTCTGCCAACCGCCATAAAACACAACTGAAGAAGAAGAAGTTGCCCCATTCACTTGGCACATTACTTAGTACTTACTATTTTTTTTTAGTCACAATGTCATTCAATTTACCTGAGTGTTTATTACAGAGGTTGTGTTTAAAGGTGGTGTCGTACTGGACTATATAATATTATATTAAAGTGTTGCATCGTGGGTCTTAAATATTAAAAAAAATACAGCTGAATATAAAGCAGGCAAGTGCAAAACTACCACAAACTAGGACATCAATACCTCCACAGGCCTTAACAGCTTCAGTCACTCTCTTGTTGTTTTTAAAGGACATCGTCCTCTCTTTAACTTTTTTTTCCTCTTTCATTTGACTATCAAAGTGCAAATGATTAGATTAATGTCCCTCTTTGCGAACTCAAAATAGTTTGTTCACATCTATTCCCTTTCACGTGTCAAATGTTTCACAGAACATAAATAATTTGCTGATGTATGCACGTGTGTGTGGTGGTTGATGAAACATCGTCTTCCCTCAGATCCGCACTCTGCGTCTGAAGCTGCTATCCGAGGCGGCGGCAGAAGGACGGCTGGTGAGAGGAACCAGAAACCAACTGAGGATGTACCTCACCATGTCTATAGCTGCAGCACAGCCCATCTTCATGTACTGGCTCACCTACCACCTCGTCAGATAAAACCTGGAGCAAACTCTTAGTCTTGTCTGAGATGAACTCGGCTGTGTGAACGCCATCTCACCCACTAAAAAAAAAAAACAACACACTCACATATCTAAAGAAGCAGAACTGGGATGACAGTGGCCGCAGTTATCTGGATGATATTCCGTTTTTTACCAGACAGAAAGGACTTACTCGGTGTATGAATGGAGCAACATCTCACATGCTTAAAGACGATTAAGAGAAGCAAGTGGCAGCGCTGCCGCCGCTCTCACAGCACAGCCGCGTGTCGTTAGTATTGCCTTTATGTTTTTTTGTCATTTATTTTATGTGACGTCTTTAAAAGTTTGTAGCAACATCAAGTGGCTTTAATTTTGTTTTTTTTCTACACTGTAATTATTTGTTAATGATGTTTTATAGGAATATTTAAGTATGTATGTTTGTGTAAAGCTATTAAGTATTATTACAGATGTCGCTCTTGTCTGATATCACATGAGCGATTTGAGCCGACCGGAAGAAAGCACACTAGCCTCACACAAACCGTCCATTTCACCAGAAGGAGAAGAAGTGAATTATTTTCAGGTTTCAAAATGATCGGACCTGAAAAACCAAGGTCTGTAAAACAGGTGTGTGTAGTTCCACCTCAGTTTTATCTCTCTCACTTTTTTCTATGTGCTTTGGAACATGTTCGAAGTTCTGCTGCCTGACAGCTCTTGAATAGAAACCGAGATGTACAGCTCACTCTGACAAGTTGACTTTGATATCTTTTTAAAGAACGAGTAAATTATTTACTGCTTTTCATAATTAAACTTAGAAGGAATAAAAAGAAAGATGAAATGCTCTGTTCTGTGGACGTTTTAAGTCTGTATGGCATTCTTAAGGTGTTGGAATGCTTTTTGTGCTTTAACGAGTCACCTGACGTCGCGATGAATCAAGCGACTCTGCTCTTTGTAAATGTAGTCATTGTAAACAAATACCAGGGTAATATTCATTTAAGTCAGGAAAATTTTAAATTAAGGAGCTTTTAATTTTGCTCAGATGTTAAGAATGAGTAAGTAATGAAATGTTGAGTTCATTGAGGTGACAATAAAAACTTCTCTGGGTGTTGTGACAAAGTGCTCATTTGAAAGGGAATCCTGGAGTTACAGCGTTTCTCTTCACTTTGACGGGCGGTGACTGTTGCAGTATGCAGAAAGCACACAACATTTGGAATTAAGCCATTGACATGATCGATGATGTAGAAATCAAATAAAGCTAACTGATTGTGAATTGTTCTATGGACTCAAAATTTGTGCATTTATTTTTAGTTGAAGTTGTTTAGAAAACATAGAAACTAGTTCAGCTTAATTTTCACAACAGGAATGATTCATATCAAAGCGAAGGACTCCTCTAGCACCACAAACTCTAATGATATTAAGCATCGTCTTACAGGAAGTGTGTGGCCAGAGTTCGATTTTGCTTTGTTACTATATAAAAAAAGGTAATATTACACTTGTATTATCTTTCATGACATGATGCTCTTGGTTTTGGAGTTCCCTGCAGGGACTTAACATACAATTCAAAAGCATCACTTAATATTATAGAACATAACACATGGTAACAAAAATATTAAAAACCCTAAAATCAATAAAAAGCTTCCCTGATCTCCTCCATCAGGACATCCAACAACTTCAGGGACAGCGTCTCAAAAAATATAGACAATAAATAACATTTTTCTAATTTGAAACACAAGGTGTTTTCGGATCACAGGAACATTTTCATAGTTCTAGGAACCGTTGGAAAGTAGGGTTACATTGTAACCTTAACATGGAAATAGTGTAGTGGAGAGACTATCTCTCCAGCTTCTAGGTCGCTCGGAGACACCTTCCGATCAAACTATCAATGATTGCACGCCAGCACAGGTGCTTTATAGATGAGCTGTGGGGCGTGACCGGGTAAGCCGGTGTGTCTTAAAGAAATATCCACGGACTCTGTCAGTCTTGAGACGAAAAGAGAACCCTCATTCTTTTATTGATTCCGCACCGCAGGAACTATGACTTATTTTAGTTCCTAGAACCCCGTTTAGAGGAACCTTTTTAGTGCCTGCTTCAGAGTAGGAACCATGGTTGGTGTGAATACAAAGAGAAAAAACATCCCATGGTGTGTAGTTCTCAAGGAACTCCCCAGAGGATAGTTCCTCTTCAAAAAATAACGCAAAACACATTTAATAACAAAGAAGCAATCATAATAGCAAAGAAAAGCTTTTATTCAGTAGGTTTTGTAAGTTACAAAGAGCATAATATATGACATTTCGTATAACATACAGTGCTTAACAAATTTATTAGACCACCTGTCATAAAAACGAGAAAACATACTGTAAATATTTTAGAAATCAAAAACAATTTTTTTTATTTATTTGGCAAATAAACTGACACGACTAAAAAGTCATTTTTTCACACATAACCAAAAAAAGTATATATTTTGTATGGCCTACTTTGGCCTTGGTAAAAGCTTGCATTCTTGCTGGCCTCGTTTTTATGTACTACGACAGTCTCTTTTGTCATTGAGTTCCAAATAGTTAATAGTTAATAACTGTTCCCACAGACTTGCTTTAGATTAAACTTTTGTGCGATCAATCTTTGAATTAACGAAATCCTAATTTTTTTCAATTGGATTTAAATCCGGACTTTGACATGGCCAGTCCTTCATTTCCAGTCCTCCAGATTCCTTTTTCTTGGTCAAATAGTCTCTGCACTGCTTTGACGTATGCTTCGGGTCATTGTCTTGTTGGTATATGTACCCAATTTCAAACTGAATTCCCCTTTTTATACCCAAATTGGAGCCGGCTCACTGGCTTCTCAATTAATCAAGCATAACATTCAACCACTAAAACACATTTTTCTGTTTAGGAATGCAAGTAAATAACTATAATTTCACATCTTAATCAAGAAATAATCATGTGCTTCACTTTTTTTTTGTAAAACAGTAAATTTGAAAATTCAATAATAATGTTATTTTAGCATTAAAAATATCGTTTTGGTTAAAGAGCTTCTAGATACTGATGTATTAACCATTACAGAACAACAATGATTTTAGTAATTACCAATGCTGTTAATTTAGGGCAGCTGTGGCTTAATAGGTGATCTAATACATGTGTTAAGCACTGTATATTTTCTTTATGACACTATTAAAATATATGCTCATGTGTAGGAGCCAATTTAGTGTGTGTGTATTTATGTGTTTTATTTCAATGGCTTTAGTTTATATGTTTATGTACTCAATTTGGACACTAGGTGGTGATAATTGATCATTTGGGTAAATTGGTCAGGTGGTTGGTTTAGTGTATAGATGTCACAGGTGAACAGGAAACGGGGGCATAGGTGGTGGGAACATACAGTTCTTACCGTAACACAACGTAACACAGGATAACACACGTAAGCTATTTAACATAACAAAAGAACGACAACAGTAAAACCTCAGAAATAACAACTCATCATATCATCATCACGGTTTGTCTCTGCTTCATATGTGACAATAAACTGGAACATCAGAAAGTACTTTAATTTTGGACATTTTATTTTTTATGCGTCAAGAACTTTCCATACACCTATGCAAGTGACTAAAGTCAAGATAAGAAATTTAGACATTAGATAGTCACTACATTATGTTTTAAGCTTTTGTAATAAAAATAGAAAGAGTTCTAAATACTTAGAAAGTTAAATAAAGAGGGGGTTCGGTCCTTTTACTCCATAGAAATAGCGAAAGCAGAAATGAAGCAGGGATGTCATATTTGTTATTTACATCTAAAATTGAACAAGTGACAACGTGATTCTGATGAACTCCTCTGAAGTGTAATATTTGAACTTAGTATTATGATATTTATTTAGCATTCAAAAGAGAAATAAAGTTGCTTTTGGTAGGTTGTCGACTGTGCAGTTAAAGGAAGAATATGCGATTTTTCACACTTAAATATAGCAGCAATCAAGTATATCCTCTGAAAATAACTCTGTGAGTCATGACTGTCTACAATGAGTATGACACCGAGCTGTATCTATAGCTTGTTAACATGGACGAGACGGCCGGCCAACTCATCCCCTTGCCTATAAAAGTTGTTTAATTGAGGGACTAGAGAAAAGAAGAATATCATACTGTACTCAAATGTTTCTAGATCAAGGTCATTTTGTGCAAATTTACAATCAGTAAGAAGATACGAGCAAAATAAAGCTAGCATTAGCATGCTAACACAACAATGCAACGCGAGTTGTTTTGGTTTCATGTTGGGGACAATGAAGTATATCTATCTAGCTATCTGCTGAAAATTGTATATTCTTCCTTTAAAATTTGCAATCTTATGAAAGGAGCTTTCATAACTTTATTTTGGAGTGTCTTCTTTCCAGAAGCCTTTGTTGTGGTGAATAGCCTGCAGGAGCATGTTATGCATCGTCTCCTCGACCGGGTACCTCTGGTAGAGGGGCAGTAGAAGCAGAGTATGACAGGTGAGGGACTCTGGCCGATGGGTCTCATTGGAATCAGGAAGGACAGCAACTTTCATCCTGATGCTCTCCATTCCCAGGAAGGGGACGCGGTCACAGCCGGTGAGGAACACTTGAAACAAGAACAAAGAGGAGATCTTGTTGATCTTCTAAAATTTAAAAGCATGATGATAATCACTGCCGTGTCATGTGGAACGCTTACAGAGGAATTTCTTCTTTTCCTCGGCTGTCAGTTCGTCAAACACCTCCCAGAAGATAACAATGTTTGGATGGTCAGCATGGTAGTCTCCTTCATACATCGTGTTCTGTTTGGAAAAAATACAAAGAAAAGTAGAAATGTAAAAAGGTTCTTAAAGGGATATGCTGGTGCTTTTATATTCTTAACTCCAGTGACTGCAAAACAATGCACAGTAATGGTCAGTAACTATGTTTACTTATGTACTGTACTGAAGAAAAACTTTGCAGAGAGAACTCCCATGATTCCCCGCCAGCTTCAACGTCATCTTTTGTATTGATTAAGAGCCCCCTGGTGGTGGAATCTACAGTCTGTTTCAGTAATTCCAATTTACATCCATTATTCATCTTAAGACCAGGTTTTAAACCAATGGAATAAAGCAATTTATAACTATCTAAACTTGACCTGCTATAACAGTAAAATGCCATTTTAGTTCAGTGCGTTAGAAACATTTGTACTGGATTTAAGTACACTATGTTGTAATACTTCTGTGCTGTAACCTCAGGGGTACTTTGAAGACAGTTCTTACATTTTTAATTGTTCAGAGCTCAGATTAATACAATTTTAAATTACTTAGACATAATTTCAAAAGCATACCACACACTTCTGTACTTCATTATTAACTGTAAGTTATGCAATCATATAGTTTCACTTGATGAGGGTTATACATCTACAAACATTAAATGCCCTTTTTTATTGGCTTAAAGTTATATTTGTGTGGTGTGTTCAGGTGACAATGGGAAACTCTAAATTCATCAAAAAGCACCAAATTAAAGACTACTCAGACAAAAAACTGTTGAGTAACAACGTGAAATTTCTTTAAATACAGCTCTGAGAGGCTTAAAGATAAAATTCTGTGGGTTCGAATCCCACTTCAACCCTTTGCTGCATATCATCCCACACTCTCTCCTCCAAGAATTTCCTGTCTCTCTTCAGCTGTCCTATCCATTAAAAATGGGCCAAAAAATATTCTATTCTTTTCGTTAACATACCTGCTTGAACACATCCCAGTCGTAGTTTTCTTGGCCCACCATCACGGCCTGCAGCTCCTCCGGCTGGAAAAAGTTCACTATGTCGTACTCGCACACTTTGAGGAAGCCCCTCTTGAACTCTTCAAACACCGCCTCCACTGATTTGTTGAAGGCATAATCAACAAAGGTGTTCGCAAATTCTTTTCTAGTTAGAAAAAAAACAAAAAGAGCTTGAAGCAAACGCTGACATTTCCCAGGTTTTTTTGTAACCAGTGTATTTTCTGTTTAAACTATTGATCAGTAAATGGCCACGAGTAAATCCTCCCTAGATACTGTATCTTAGAAAAAAGTTGAGACAGCAATTCTGTAAACATACTTGTTTGATGCTGTGACGGGTTTCCCAGGAGTTGTCGGATCGAGGTCAACTTCCTCACCATCCCATGTCACCTGTAATGAATTAAAGTTACAGTCAGTAAGGTACGGAGGACTTGCTGTCATTCTGTGACATATTAAACCTACAACAAAGGTTGTATCCAGGCCTTCCACTTTATCAGGAGTGTAGTCATCCAGCATGCATCGCAAAGACCTGGAGACACAACAAAAAGATTTCACTGAACTAAAACCTACGCATGACACAGCTAAGAGTTTCAAATCAAAACAGAATATATAACTGTTGTTAATTACACAGGTAAAAAAAATCAGCAGTCGGTTAAAACATAAACAATTAAACTGTGCGTTATATTTTTCAATCTTACTCTCCCATCACAGGGTCGAACTCCTTCATGTCATCCAGCGAGGGTTTGAACCCAAGCAGCTTCTTAAAGAGAACCAGGGGAAAAGGGAGGTGGATGATGTTGCTGTTGTAGAGAGCCAGCCCACACAGGACGCCAAAGAGGAAGTAAGTCTTCTTATCCTTTTTTGGCTGTTTGATTGATGACAAAGCACAACAAGGATTCTGTATAAATCAATGACTTTGAATGGTCAAATATACAGGATCTAAACTCTTAGCTGGTTTTACAATAGAGCATCTGCAGTAATCTGCTGACTTTTATGTTGAAGTCTGAAATACTTTGCATGGACTAGGCAGCTACAAATAGGCTCAGTATACACAAGAATGTAACACCTGGGGCCCGTTTCTGAAAGAAAGTTTTGTGCAAACTCTGAGTCCGTTAACCCTGAAATTAGGGAAACTCTGGGTATTCCGTTTCAGAAGAGGAGGTCACTCAAACCCGAGAAAGAGGGGTAACTCCAGCCCGTTTCAGAGGGCGAGGTTACTTTACCTCTGAATCAGTTACTATGGTAACTGAGTCTGTGAACCTAACCTGGTCGGGAGCAGGTTTTCTTCAATGAACCCCGAGTTTCTCTAGGTCTCTCCCTCTTTCAGAGCCAGAACCGCCCTTTCATTTCCTCATTCTTTCATTCAGTCCTTCTCAAGTGCGTTAGTGAAGATTCACCGTTTGTCTGAATAAGGTTGTTTTAATGTGATATGTTAGGATGGCAATCGCCTACTACAGCGTATAAAACTAACTATTTTATCGAACATGGCATGTCTTTTAGTCGAGCCTCGTTATGAAGGGGCTGCATTAGGCTTCTCCGCAGGGAATTAGAGCCTAGGCTACATTAACGTCGGGAGATGTTAATTTAATTAGGGTTAATTAATAAACTAAACGGGATAAAGGTGAGAGGACATTTAGCCTATGTGTGTGAATACAGCTTTATGTTGAGGATAAAGTTAATGCACATTCAAATAAACTCTGAATGAAGTTAACTTTAAATCTATATGAGCCTATTATGTTCTTATATTTCATTTTGAGCTGTTGTAAAGTCTCTTTTCTTCTGCTGGATTGCATCTTAATGTAAATAAACTGTATAGGTTTAATAGCCTACCATTCCATCAGTCCCGACCCAATATTATAATTCTGATTAAATAGGCTATTAAATTAATAGACTTTGCGTGCTGACGTGAGCAGCTACTTTTTTTCCCTTCTTAAAACCTGTTCATATTTGCCATAGCCTATGGCCACATGAAGATATTGATATATTTCGAGATGGTTAAAGTACGAGGATCTCTTTTATGTAACCTGTTGCCATGGTGAATCGTAGTATCGGGGCTCCATTCATGTTGGCTTTTTATCGTTGTGGTGCACGCGTTGAACACCGAGTGGACCTACTCAGAGTTTAGGTTTAGATTTAACTAATTCAAATCTGCTGATCTGGAACCAAAACTCACGAGTTTCCCATCTGAGAGTAAATCAACTCAGAGCTCAGGGTTAGACTGAGGGTTTGTTGAACCTTCTTTCAGAAACAAGCCCCTGGTCTTATATTACCTGGGATGGGAACCAGAGCAGAGTATTGCTGTCATTGTACATGAACATTTCAGACTCGGGGGCAATCAATCATCGAACACCTGCAGGAAGAGGTCATTTTTGTTGACGTTCATCAACTTCCTGTCATCCTTGAACTGCACCTAGGAAGGATCAAATAAAAGTCTTTTAAATACTATTTTTAACTAACTGAATTACTCTCATTGTAATTAAATAAAACATCTGCATGCACATCTGCACTGATATTCATTTGTGCTTCTAACAAATAGTCACTATGACATCTGTGAATATACTTTAAAACCTGCAGGCTGGACGTGCTTGTGTTTACAGTTTCTACAGGGAAACATGAAAGTAAGCTGGATGAGATTTTTTGTCAGAAAACACTACTTATGCATGTATGGGACAGGGTTACCCAAAAGAAAGCCCTTTTGGGCATCCAAAATTGACACAGAATCAAATTTCGTCAGAGGAGCTTTACTTTTCTAGCTCCTTCCATTTATCTCCTTGAATTTATAATTGGGATATTTTGCTTAAAACTTCCCAACAACTTGGGCACCTCTTTCATTTTTTTTTAGAATTAAGAGCAATCAAAACTAAAGCCAGCCTCAGAACATTAAAGACAGGAAGCCTTTGTTTACCAGAAGCTCCAAGTGGAAGGCGCTGTGGTCCGCTGCAGCGAGGTGTCTGAAGGTGTCCTCCACCAGATGAGTGCGTCTCAAAGTGAGCTGGAGGTACGGGGCTGTTGTGAGGTCTATGGGACTTTTGAGCGATTCAGCATGCATCCTCACGGCCATTTCATACATTACTTGTGGCGCCTTCTGTAATTACAAAATCCTTTTTTACCAACTCAGAAAGCCAGGTACATTAATTAAGAATGAAATAATACAAATATGTTTCAGATAAAGGCTGTAGCGTTCATGTTCATCTGCAGTAAAATGGTTACAAACAGGCTTTCTTACATACATACTGTACCTTTTTTAAAGTAGCATAGATGTTAAAGACTGCCACCTTTTGAACCAGAGTGAACACGAACGGGTAGCGGCAGAAAATGACTGGAATGTCGTCATGCTTTAAGAGAGTAACACAATTATTTAGTAAGAGATCACTAAGCAATAAGCAGAAATAACAGGAATAAAGAAGATTTTCAACAACATATAAACTGTACAGTATCTTTTTACCTCCACTCTAGAAAAAGAGGCCCAAAGAGCGACATCAGCATAGGGGTCCACATTACCGTTGATTTCATCGACGTAAAAGGAGTTCAGTGGGACTTTGTAGGACTTACCAGTTTTGTTTGCCTGTGAATAAAATACATACTGTACATGTAAAAAAATAAAAAACTTACAGTGAACATTAAGCAAATATTTTCATTTAGTGATGTTGATGTTGTTTTTCAGCCACTGATTTAGATTCACAGTATGGGTAAAAGGTTCAAATTCACTCAAACACACAACACTGACTCTGTAGAGCAGCTTGAGGGCCTCCAGCAGGAATCTGACTCCTGGGTTGTGAGTTGCCAAAAGACCGTTTTTGAGCAGGAAGGCCAGGGCGTTTTTGAACACCAAGATGTGCTTTGTAAGTAGGGTCGGTGTCAGGGAAGACCACAAGCTCTCTGCAAAACAAAACAGCACATACAGTATTCAATAACGCTACATCCAGTCCAACTGTCATGCTTTTTACATTTATTCAGAAGCAAAAATCAGTTTTAACAGCTCACGACTTATCAAAGTTTAGTATGCATTTTAAAAAAGTAACGTGATAATATTGAGCATGTCAAGGGAAATTAAAACTTTACTTTATAGTTAAAACTTAAAATATTTTCTATTTGCAGGAATATAATTAACAATGTTTTTTTGTTTTTTTTTTAATTTTGGGGGTGCTTTTTGCGCCTTTATTGTAGAGATAGGACAGTGGATTGAGTCGGAAATCAGGAAGAGAGTGAGAGAGAGAGATGTGGGGAATGACACATGGGAACTTGAGCCCGGGACACCCGCCTGGAGAACTACAGTTTGTGCATGGGGCGCAAGCACTAACCAATACACTACCAGCGCCACTTTAATTATATTTGTTAATACTAGATTGTAAGATCATAAATCATTACACATCTGACCAAACCAGTGACACAAAAATAAAGTAGTACAGTAGTTGTTTACTTAGTGTTTCCTGATTCTTCCCACTCAGGTCTGCGATCATGATAGCCAAAGGCAACACGGTGTTCATGACAGCAGAGTCCTCTCGGAGAAGAGGACATGTCAGCAGAACCATGAAGATCTCCAGGGATTTCATGTCTTTTATCGAAGCCAAAAGTAGGTCCATCAGGAGTGTAAGGGTTACCTGAAAAGAAATGAGATCTGTTATTTAACCTGACACTGTTTATACAGCAGAGATTTGTTTGCAAAGGGATACATTTTTCTTTAAAGAAGTTAAGAGCCTTTTTAATTTGTCACTGCTGATTATGTCTCGTGTGAAAAACAATCTGTCCTTAACTGTTTCTTTGATCCATGGTACTGCCAGAAGCCGGTCGAAAGCCCTGCTGGCTGCCTCAAGGTCCACTGTTAGGTCCCCTGCTTTTTTGAGAGACCCACTGACAAAGAGTGGAGTATTAAATGAAAGTTATGATAACAAGATGAGTAAATGATATTCAGGTCACCCGTTAACATTTGAGTTTTCTTTCAGATCTTAACATGCAAACTGATTTGCTCTAATAAATCACAAACAGCTGCAGCTGAAGGAAATATCGACTCACTTTGCCTTTGTGAAACTGGCAACAAGACTGGAACTTGTAAAAAACATTGAACAGATTTCGCTGTTGAATAAAGACAGAAAAAAAATGGGGACACCTTAGTTACACATGAGAAACATGTTTAATGTGAGCAGTTGTACAAACAAATATATAATTGTGGATAAAGACCTCTTTGCCTCTGGGTTGCCTGGATTTACAGACAACCATTTTTGTAGTTTTGTCTCATCAAGCCGTCCTATTATCTGTCCTCTGTCCAAGCCCTGAAAGGCAGACATACGATATACTTAATATTTAGAAAAAGGATATATATATATTTTTTTTTTTTTACAAAAATGTGCTTTATCTAAAAAACAACACATGTTCTAATAGTTGAACACATTACCTGTGTGGGTGACGAGAAAGCAAAGTTTGTGTTCCAACCGGTTGATATTTTCAGATCTGCAGATTCAATTCAAGTGAAATAAATATAAATCAAAGAACACATGTTCAGGGATGTTATTTCAGTCTTCTACACCTCCTACCACCACACAGTAAATGATCAGATAACACTTTTTTTCTGCAGACTGATGCACATTTCTGGGGAGCTTTCTAACATTCAAAACTATCTTTTAATGAAAACCATAACCTAATAATCTCGAGATATTTACGTTCTGATAAGATCAAAAACAGGTCCACCACTTCCTATATAAAATTATTAAAAACAGAATGATACATCTATAAATGAACCCATTCATGCCTTTGACTTTGGCTGCTTCATTGTCATTGTTGCATGGAAGTTGTACTTGAGTGGGCGTCAGACTATCTTCTGTACATCCAGTCCCAACTTGACCTTTTGCCCCATGACCAAAAGCCCACAGTTGGCCAGAGGAGCCCAACACCAGAGTGTGACGTCTGGAAGACAGGAACAGGACAGGAGGAACAGGACAGGTCATTTTGTCATAAATGGTCCAGCTCCGGTACTTTAATTTAAAATTGATCATCTCAGAAACCTAATGTATAAAGTCTTCTCCTAAATCAAACAGTTTAAGTGTTTTACTATCCTAGTTTTTTTTTTTACCTGCCACATGCAATCTGGGAGGCAGACCCGTCCAGACCATCGACCAATCTGGGTGCCTTTTCATTGTCAGTGGAGTTATGACCGAGCTGACCGTTGCTTCCTTCTCCAAAGGTGAAAACTTTGCCATCCTAGAAAATCACAGCGTTAGAAAAAGTCATGAAAAACTGATTTGGAAACTGTAATTCTCTTAATTATTTTATAACATTTTCATAATATATATATATACACTATGTATAGCAAATTTGAATGAGGGGTAGGCTGAGTTTGTACCTTTGTTAACACAGCAGAGTGTGCCTCTCCACAGCTGATAAAGGAGACATCCAGAGGTCTGAGGGCAGGTACCACACAGATGTTGAACCTGCCTGTGATGACAAAACTTAACATGAGATGGAAAGAATGTTTGATTGAAAAAGGAGGAGCCTCTATACATCTTAAAGGGATTTTCTAGCCATCTAGATTTAAACAAAATTGGTTTAAAACACACTAAAACCATTTTTAAACGGTTTCCTATCTTTTGTTATCAAGCAACGATGGTCTGCAGCATTCATTACCTTTGTAACAATTGACTACAAATGTAAGAATTTGGATCATTTCTTATATTTGTCACTTGTGCTGATAGTTGATGAAAGTATTCTATATTTCATACCAAACAGTTCTTCTGTGAATCTGTGTGCTATATGGAAATTCAAGCAGATGTTTCATTTTGGCTCTATGAACAGAGGATTAAGTAAACATGCGGGAAATTTAAGATTGCTCTGTTAGCGGAGTATAACAGTGATGCACGAGAGGAACAAACTGTGTGAGTCCAGTTTGACACAATAATATAATCCTGGTACTCATAAAAGATCATTACTATTTCTACATAGAGAAATAAAAACAAAAAACATAAACAGCTACTTATAGAAGATACCACAGTAGCTGTTACACTCTTTTCTTACAGGTGGTATCAAAGTTAAATGTGTCACTGTCTTGGGCTGAAGGTGCTGCAGACTGTCATGTGTAGAAATAGTATGACAAGAGTCAATGAGCTCCACCTTTAAGAATAATCTACTGACTTCCAGAGGTAAGGAAAATAATAGGTACCCTTCTCATCCACCCTGTTGAGTCCCAGCTGGCCTGACTTGTTGGCCCCACAGCAGTACACCAGGCCGGGCAGCGTGAGGAAGAAAGAGTGAGTCACTCCGGCTGAAATCTGAGTCACTGCTACTCCGGTTAGAGCTGTCACCAAGACAGGTGTGTACTGTAGTGGCACGGCCTTCCCCAGGCCCAGCTGACCATGGCTGTTACGACCCCATGTGAAGACATCTCCTCCTGGTAAAGTTGGAAAAAGTGGAGGAAATACAAAATAACTTTTTTAAATAGTTAGGATAAGTACACCTATAAAAGCAGATAGATCACATCAATTATATATATATATATAGGCAGTGTTCTTTATATTAGCATGATCAACAAAATGAATCAATGTTTTATTTTCAAAACATAGCTTTTTTTCAAATAACACAAGTACAGTAATTATTAGTATTTTAGTAGGCAGCAGGTCAAAGAAAATAGCATATTCTTGACAACTTTTAAGCTAGATTTAACAAGTTAAAACAAAACCAAATCATAGCCATATTACAATAGATCAAACATAACACGCTGTTAAACTAGAGCTATTCCATTATAATCACACAAAGATCTTATCAGAATCTTTATTGTCATACCTTTAGTCAGAGCCAGAGAGTGGACGTTTCCACAAGCCACCTGAGTCACTGGTATTGGCATTGGATGGGCACCCGACTGCATGTTGATAAGACGGTAATAAGTAAAAAAAAAACTAAAACAAATGTTTTGATGCTTTTCAGAGAAAGTGCATAATGTATAGATATATTTAGACAATACACTGAGATCATACCTTGGTCTATGACTGATGCTCTGCTGATTGGGTAACATGCCAAGCTGTCCGTCTTCTTTGGCACCCCAGCAGAACACATGTCCAGATACACACAAAGCCAGACTGTGATCCCGACCACAAGCCACCGACACTACATTCCCCAGACCCTCCACACGACCTTATTCAGGATGACAGAGAGAAGAACAAACAGAAATGTTTGATATGAATCGGGATTTAAAGCAGGAAAAAAAAGGTATCCGAAAATAACAGCTTTAGTTCAGTGCTATACTTAGCAGCCCTAAATGTCTAAAATACAAACCTAAATCATGCATCAAGTGTTTGTAGTCTCATGTGCTTATTGATAGTTGTGGAAAATAAATTCAACACTACTCAAATTCTGCACAAATGTGTCTTCCAATACCACTCACCTCAAATTAATTGACAGCTCTAGTATTAAAGGGAATTTGAATTATTAAATTACCCCCAAAAACGGCCTATATGACAATATTATCCACTAAACTACAAAAATAAGTAAAAAAACAGTGAAAATAAGTTCACCACACCCTGCTGCAACAATATTTGGCTTAGGGGACTACATTTAAAGTTGTAAATGTAAGACAAATAATGTAGGCCAGTGTAGGCCCATTCATAATTTCATAATTCATAAATGTATTATATCAACCTTAATACGTATCGAATCACTATATTTAACCTATACAGTTCGTAAATGCAAAGGCTAACTCTTTAATGTACCCCCTTTCCCAGTCGCACTTGAACTCAACACATGATAAAGTGCATTTAACTTTCGTTGTCACAGAAGACGAGAGGGAAACGAAACTGAAACTTCGCTCAGTTAATCAGCCTGCGCAATATTCGCATTATTATGATTTATGACTTTGAATTCATAAAATCAAATTAGAAAACACACGAAAAAATTATGTCTCAGTTGACATTATTATCACTCACCGACTTATAAAAAAAGATCCTAAGAGTTATAAGTCAACATGCATTCAAAACACAGGTAGGCCTAACATTTTGTAAACAAAAATATAAATAAATACCCGTTATTAATTTTATGGATCCAATACGCTATTTAAACTATAGCCTTTACACAATGGGGTATACTGCTGCAGGAAGAAAAGGTACATTAATAGCTATTTCTCCTGCCAACCCTATATTATTCTTTGGAAAAGTTTGCCATATTTTTAACTTTACCTGGGGTCTTTGAATCTTTACTTTTCTTTCGTCCTAGTCGTCCCTGAGAGTTGAGACCACAGGATAAAACTCCTCCATCCTTGGTGAGGACTAAAGTGTGCTGCTCTCCGCAGCTGATGTCGGTGATGACCCCGGGGACGGTCCAGGAAACCGGACTGAGGGCTTTATGAGATGCGAACTGTCCACTGGAGCCGTCTCCCCAACAGTACAGCTGCACCATGATTACACCTGTGCTGCACTGAACTGGACTGGACGCTGCGTCTCTGTGCTGGCATTTTATCTCTGTCAATGCTGCCTTCAAGTGCTGTTGGAAATTTAATTTCAAGTTATGTGAGTTGAGGATATTTTATTTTTCTGTAATGATAGTTTTAAAAATATTTACATGTCCATAGTTGCAAAATAAAGTGTATTGATAATATTATTTAATTAAAAGTAAGAAACTCCCAAGCAATACGATGTCGGTATAGAAAACTCTAATTTACAAGCCTACCAGTGAAGCCAGCATGGGAAGATCGCCAGCGTTTAGGAGAAAAGGAAGTTTAAACTTTCAAAAGGACTTTGTGTTGTTTTCAGCTGAAAGGTCCACTTCATGCTAATGAGTTTGGGCGTTTTTTGTTTTTTTGTTCAAGGTCAACCATGTATAAATAAATCACGTCACAAGTTTTTTTTTTCTATTCATAGGCTATTTACACAAAGGTGTATCAATTCATATTTCATATTTCGGTTATTCATATTTGCACTTTTTTACACAACAACAGAGATGTAATGAATGCATTATGTGTGGGTCAGGACGTTTTCGTTGTAGATATACAGTATGCCTATGTAGTTGTAGCACTACTAGCACTATTGGTTTTGTTTCAACAGAAATGAATGTGCTGTGTGTGTGTGTGTGTGTGTGTGTGTGTGTGTGTGTGTGTGTGTGTGTGTGTGTGTGTGTGATGTGATGTAAGCTTAGAAACCTTTAATTATATAATCCCAAGAAGTGTACAACAAATTCAAACATGTAGAAATATAACCATTTAATACACCTGAATGCATTACATTGTTGTCTTTGTATGCTGTCACATTTATTTTTGAAAAAAACATTATTTTCAATCAAAGTCCATCAAAGTCGGGGTAACTGTCCTATGTCCACGTCACATTAGGGGCTGTTAGGTGTGACCAGCTGAATGGTGCCCTGTCAAAGGGGCATTGCTTCATTTGTCCATTCACTTTTTCTCTGCAACTGACCGACTCGTCCTTGTTCATCAAGACATCACATATAGAGTAAACACCCACAGAGCCGTCCTGAAAGCCCACAAACACACGCTGCTGCTGCTTGCACATAACCACAGTGGACGGATTCTTACACAGACTTGCGCTTCCTATTCGTTCCCCGTCTGCGAGTCGTACGACTGTGAGGACGAGCCTCGCATGAAGAGAACAGACACAGCTTTCCTCCTGGTTGTTTGGACGGAATATGTAGGCAACATAGCATCCAGTGTTATCCAAACAAGCTTTGATGACTGGACCATTTGCCTTGAGGGAGGACAGCCTGACCTGAGATAGATCCAAGATGTTTATAGCATCATCTTTAATGGACAGCAGGGCATAGTTCCCATTAGAGGACATGTGGAAGTCTTGAGGCTGACATAGAAACGTATGAGGCAGCTGAAAGTGCCTGCACACAGTCTCCTCCACTACTTTCCACGTGTACACTGCACCTGAGGCGGCCATTACCACCACAAAGTCGGGGTGCTCTGAAAGTGTTGAGAAGGCAACGACACACTCAGAGCTCGTCACACAGGAAAAGCGCTTACTTATTGAGCCCGTCCACAGACTGGCCGCTAACAAGTCTCCTTTGTGACGGCCGATAAGGAAGGTGCTTTCAGGTGACACCTGTGCATCAGACAGATACAGACGTATACTGCACACAATACTCCCATGTGACAGCTTCCAAACACGGGACAGATATTGATCAGAAATACTCACGCCAAGAAGACTATTTGGAGTGATCAGGATGTTTTTCGCTCCGCTTCCACTGATACGCAGAATGTTCTGACCCGTTTCTGTCTGCCAAATGTAGATTTCGCCGCCTGAGAGCGTCACAAGGTGGACATTGTCTGGAGAAAGGTGCAGTTTTTCCACAGGGCCATCATGAAGGAAGAAAGCATGCGGAAGTCCTGTTCTTAACCCCCATCTCCACACCATCTCTGACCCATTAGCGGTGTAGAACCACTCCCCCGTACCTTCGACTACCACTTCTTTCACTCCTGAACCCATTTTTGGAGCTGTACCAGCAGTCTCTATCATCTCAGAGTCCCACACTGTGAGACAGCCGTCATCAGCGACACAAATAACATCTGAGGCTGTTTTGAGGAGTGAATGAGGCTGCCTGTTTGTGTCTAAGGAAAGAACACACTCCCCTGTGCTGACCCTCCACACCAAGATGAAGGGGCAGTCGTCTAACAGAGCCAGGAAAAGGTGGCCATCATGGGAGAGCAGAGCTTGAGTGAAGGCCCTTCCCTGGGGAGCCAAGAGTCTGTCCCACAGCTCCCAGTCATGCGTTCCCCACAGTGTAACCTGGTGAGAGTGACACACCAACAGAGTATTGTGTTCATCTGAGTAATCTGTATTAAGGATGGTAATAGATTCACCTCCAGAGCAGATTTCTTTGACAAGTACAGGTGGTTCAGATTTGGCAACCAATTCCCACAGGGTAACGTTCCCTGTCTTGTCAACACATGCCATTTCCGACGTATCCTCACAGAGGATTATTGAGGTGACCGCAATGTTGTCTGAGTTTGAACACATGCTGAGGAGACTACCGTTGTTAGTGTCAAATATGGATACTTTGCCCTCCTCCTGGCCACAGTACATGTAAACGCTATCAGAGGAGCAAGCCAAACAGCTCACACGGCCCTGACACTGGAAATGAGTCGTGGTGTCGCAGAAGATATCGAACACACTGACAAAACTCTCCTCTTCCCACCACACGAACAGCTTTTTTGTACTTGCAACAAACCCCTCAAGCTTGTTCAGTTTTGGTTGACCTGACTCTGTTTTCAAAGGGTCCTTGACCTGAAGGAACATTTGAGGGCCTGATACATCCCACAAGAAAAGCTTGTTGCACAGTGTGGAAAGCAGTATGAATGGAGTGCTACTCTTCACTCCTGCAAACTTAAGATCCTGCTGCTCAGGACTTAGTGATAGTTTCACTACATCACTCCACTGGCCTTTACAAACCCAAGCCGTGCCATCATCCATCACCTCTACTACAACCCCGCACTCTGTGACAGCTGCTTCTCTAACAGAGACGTCTTTGCATTTGGCATCGCGCTTTGAACACTGAACTGAGGGAACTGAGGAAGGAGCAGGGCAAAGCACTACCCCCAAACCACGCCCTCTTTTCTTCCTCTCCTCTCTGATCTCGCTGACATAACATTCAAGAGCAGGAAAGACCTCAAGATAAGGAACAAGGCTCGTCTCCATCAGCGTCGGCAGCTGCATTAGCGAGCTCTGCAATGAACACGAACAAGACTTCAAAATGCTTGCTAGGATTGCTTTTTCCTTCCAAAACCCGAAGTGCAATGTTCCTTCCTCATGTTCCAACATGGCTACCAGATCTCTAAGAAGTCCTGCTTGGATCATAGTCTGGTGGAACCCCAAAGACAAAAGCAGCCCATGCTCCAACTCCTCCCATTTGTTACTTTCTTGCAAGTGAAGCGGCAGTTCTGAGACTTTCCTCAAGTTAACTCTGCCAATGTTTTGGGAAGAAGAGGTGAACATGAATGGTTTGCTGGATTGCTGCCTGTTCAAAGGTGTTTCCATTTGGGCGACTTTATTGTTGGTTTTAGATTTGCCACTGAAATAGTCCACCATCTCTAAATGAATCTCTCTCTTTAGCTCAGGAGAACCAAAATACTTCCTAGCAGCTACCAGCTTGAAATGTCTGCACACCCAGAACAAAACCTTCGACCCTCCAACTGTCCTTCTTATAAGAAACTCCCTCAAATCCAGCAGAAGTCTGTCCACATCAACTTGCAGGACCTTTGTATTGGAGGAATGTTCAGACTGCACTTCGGCATCACTGGACAGCAGATCAGCGAGCTCGGCCTCAGTGAGTCCAGTCCTTGAGAGGGTAAGGTAAGGTATGGCACGGGCCACGATAGAGCGGCCGTGTTTGTGCTCCAGATGATCCAGCAATGCAGAAATGGATGAATGGACGAAATCAGGAAGAGACGATATGGTCACATCTGAATCTGATAATGAGAGAACAAGAGGGGAGAGAAATATAATGCAATTATTTTAGGGAGTAAGTCGTGTGATTTTTTTTATTTTGACAAGTCCAAGAAAAACACCAAAACCAACAATGAATTTAACACTTGTTGATTACTTTTTTTTATGTATTACTCATCACAGCTAATTAACACTACATGTTTTATTAGCATGAGCGTTTCAGAAACAGCCTTGCAGAAGCTTCAGTCTTTGAAACTATACAAAAACAGAATTTTATGAATTATACGAAAAAATGTATGTTGCCAAAATCATCTCTGTTGACTTCAGAATATACCCAATCTTGTACTTTAAGAAACTTCCTTGTGTTTTCTTTTTTTGTTTTTGTGCTCTTTACTCGTACCAGAATGCCACAGCGAGGTGTGGTGATGCAGAAGTCGAGCGTAGAGAGGCAGACAGCAAGAAGTCAGCGCCTGGTTCACCAGCGCCTGTTGTCCTGATGTCACTCTCCTCCCGGAACCTTTCAGCAGCGATGCCAACATCTTTGAACATTGCTTCCTGTCTACCGGTCCCAGCTGCAAACACACATATCCTGACTTCTTCTCATCGTCCCCTGACACTGATGAAGTTGGACTTTGTTGGTTGAACCCCTGCAGTACCTGTGTTCGGTTAGTGGAGACTGAGAGGATGAGTTTGACGCTGGGAGGTAGAGGCGAGGGGAGGATCTTACTGATTTCAAGTCCAAATGTTTTTTCAATGCGATCCAGGCCAACCAGGATTAGAATAAGAGGCTGATTGGTTGAAGGCATGATGGAGAGGAGGGATGAGAGACGTTCTTTAAGCTCCGATAGACAAATATCAGGTTTCATGATGCCAGAAAGATCCAGGGATGATGTGGTACTTAGGCCGTGGTCAGAAACATGCTCTTTGGTGGTTTGCTCGGGGTGGGGTTTAAATTAGATGTCAGGACGTTGGAGTTTTTGTCACTGTGGTTGTTGCTACTGCCTGAATCTTCAAGGTCCCAGAGTTTTTGCTTTGAGGAAGATTTGCTTTTATATTGAGCAGCAATCTGATGACACAAACTCAACAACATGTGCTTCTGGGAAGGCTTGATTGACAGGCTGAAAAAATAAGTGATCACCACGGGATCAGAGTCTGGTAACCAGGACTTCATCTGTGGAGAAAGACAAACACTTGTTTACATGGTGTTCAGACCACAATGTTTAGATTCCTGTAGCACTCATCTGGGGTTGATAATGTATATTTTTTGTAATCCTTTATTATATTATACATTGATGTTAAGTCAAGGGTTATTTCTTTGCAATAACATTAGAGACACCATTGACAAACTATTACAATTGTATTGTTATTGGGTTACTACTTTGTGTCATGATTTGGTCTTTAGTTTTGTATTTTTGTCTATTTCTAAGTTTAGGTTTCCTTGTGATTCATCCTCGTGTTGCTCGTTTCCTTTGTGTGTTTTTGTCTTAATGTTTCCTAGTTTAGTCTTTACTGTTTCCTCTTGTATTTGGTCATTTCGTTTCCCAGTGTTCTGTGTTCTAGTGTGTATTATTGTTTACGTTGAGTTCTCTGTGTCTTCAGTGTTTCATGATTTGTAGTTACTTCTTGGATGAGTGTTTGTCAGATGTTTGTCGTATGTAAGTTGTCAGTATTTGATATTAGTCTTTGTAGGTCGTCTTCCTGTGCCCTAGTGTTTTTGACTTCTATTAAATAAAACAAAAAAACAGTGTGCAAGATGTTTTTTGGAAGAACCAAAACAGTTACAAGCCAAACAAATTGGATCCGTTTTCCAAATAGCTGTGAAATAAGGAGAAACAAAACCACCACTGCCGAGCAGCTAATAAGAAAGTAAATTAAAGGGAAGAACAACTAAACCCTCTACAGCTGAGACACACAGAAACTAATAGGCGAGGTTAGAAATCCCCAGCACCAATAAACGACACAGGTAAAGGTGCAGGTAATAGGAAACAAGTCAAGTGGTGCTTATGAAGAATCACTCACTTCTTAAAGACACAAGAAAGACAGAGAAACCCTCTCACGATCTCTGGTGGTGAGACAGTGGCTGTATCCGAATTGCCAAGTACCTACTCAATCTTTCAGTAGTCAGTAGGCAGTATATACAATCTGTGCTGTATACTGTTTAGTACCTACTATTCAGTAGGCACGCACAGTAGGCAGATATTTGTTCCTACTTCATCTGATTCATTCAGTATGTTAGTGACGTCATTTACGTTTCCCGAACCGGCCGCATTCACCCGTTTCTTTTTTGTTTTTTTGCTTAGCTTTATTCAAGAAGAGTAATGCGCATATACAGTCAGGTAAACAAAAAACAATATCACAATGTAAATCAAGTAAAAGGCAGATTCAATAACTAAATAACATACAGTACATAAGGAAAGTACAAATGAAAGACAGTAATATACAGAATATAAAGTAAAATAAACATATAAAGACAAATTTAAATAGTGAAATCATTATTTAAGTAGAGGGAGAACGGTTTTATAATAATGCAGATATTTGTTATATTTTCTGTTGTTATTAAAAGTAGCGATTTCAGTCGGGACTTCAACTCTAGATTAAAAATTGATTAGATTAATCCACGTTCGTTTGTTTTGATTTGGAGGCGGACGTGAAGTGACGATTTAATCAATCAATCAATCAGTCACACACACACACACACACACACACACACACACACACACACACACACACACACACACACACACACACACAAACACACACAGACACACACACACACACCAGTTTAATCTCACTCACAGCTTGTTAATGAGTTTAAGTACTGTATTATAGACTTTCTTCTAAAAGTGTCAAACACCATCAACATTAACCTGTTTTCAGCAAATTAAGACATCTCTGAGTGAACGTGCTGCCTTGATGTATTTGCATTTTATGGTATTCTCATATTATCGACTACTGCGTAACTAGTTGGTCACTTACAGGAGCAACAACATTGAAACCTGTTGATTCTCTGTATAAAAAGTGTTGAAAATAGAAACCTTTTCTCATGTCACCATTGTTAACATCCTTTGAAAGTACAAGCTATGAAGCTTTGACAACTTCCAAAAAGTTTAAAACTGCCTGTTTGATGTACAAAGTATTTTTTTGTCACACTTTCCAGAAGCCAATCAGAAGACCAGAAAGTATTCATAATGTGTGAGAGGGGAGAACCGATGATTTATGGGAAGCTTTTAAAGTATCACCTGTACCTTAAATTGACATATTTGTAAATGTAATGTTCTGTTTCTGTCAGTGAGAGCATCAGCCACATAATTGCAAATACTTGTTTCTAGCGCTGTTATCTGTTTGTCGCAAGGTTCTTATTGTTTGGATGCAAAAAAAGAAATATTTGATCTTTATACATTCTTAGGATATTTCAAAGGTATGTTAAAACGATCAAAGTCAGTTTGACATTTCCTGTCGGCCCTCTCACCTTCTTAGCACAGTGTGCCAGCAGAACTGTCTTCCCGGTGCATGGTCCTCCTGTCACCACTAATGGACACTGTTGTTCACTCTGCTCCACATATACTCGGATCTGCAATAAAAAGGTAAGTCTGGTGATGCAATGGTTTGGCCTAACATTATTGGCATCAAGTTTTTCTCCATAGTGTTAGAACATAGGGAAATAGATAAGAATATATCTGTAACAGGATGTTGAATTTAAAATGACTGAATGCTATTATCACCAGTGCCTCAGAACAAACTCTACTCTGTGTTTAAACACCTCAGTGATATATCTTAACACTGTCATATTTACAATGAAATGAGAAGTAATCAAATCAACGACATTAAGCAAATCGAAAAACCCTCTCCATCCAAACCTCTTCCTCCTCTGGTCTCGTGATGTCATAAAAAGTGGACAGGATGTCACATAGCTCCTCCTGCTCAAGCTGCTCTCTGAACAAAGCATCACCGGCTGAGGGTCTTCACTGATCTCTAATATGCGAATGCTGCCAATAACCCCCGAGAGGTCACAGTACACCTGCTGGCACAGAGACTCAGCGTAGCCCCGCCTCCTTGCTGTTGTGTAACCATGGCGAAGGTCACACTCTGTGGCGGTGGTATAGACGAGAAGCTGAGAGGAAGTGATGAGACCGGGGAGGAAGTTGTCACAAAGCTCGGAAAGTAATTTTCCATCAGTCGGGGTTGTTTCCAGCTCCAAAGCAGCAGCCTGGAAAAGCCGAATGAAAGAGGGGAAATAGAAGGATTCTGAAACACACTTTCCTTGACACAATCTGATTATTTTACAGTGCAAAAATAATCTACCATTATGTAAAGTTTCGAACTCATGTTTCACCAGTACTGAACATCTAAAATTAGATTTGGCTGTGACTCATAAAATCATATGAGAAAAAGAGGGATGTTATATGATTCTGATAGTATACCTACAGTTACATGGATGCCTATGAGAGAGTGACGGATGACTCCTACCTCGAACTGTTGCTGTTTTTTTGACCTCACCAGCCTCTGTCCGTTTGCATTGATGACCTTGTGGATGTAAACCAGGCAGCGACTGATGATGTCACTATCAGGACAGTTATCCAGAGCAAATCTAAGATCTAAGTCGAGGGCTGGAGAGAAGCAGCAAACTCAGCGTTAAACTTTACTTTTACATCTCCTATAGTAAAGAAAAACACAGAGACAGGCATCCATCTCACCTGATCTGAAGTAGCTCCGGCCTTTCTCCTGAGTCATGAGACCTTTGTGGACACACAGACTCACGGTGGTCTGAATCATCTTCCCCAGCCCTTCTTCTTTAGTCTTCATCTGGATCTCTTCTTTCTCTCTAGCCTGCCGAATAGAAAACTGTTAGAGGTACTTTTGATAAATAAGAACCTAACATACCTGCAGTCACTCGTATGGAGAAAAACATAAATATCATATATTAGATCAAATGTAGTCTTAAATATAATGACCTACACTACACACAAAAATACACATTTTTATTTATGTATAGACCTTAAGCACATGATAACACACATGATTATTAAATAATCAGGCCTTTAACTTATCTCTTTTAAATGCTTAATATTTTTAACAAGGTAAACTTATAACAACAGAGTTTTATTTGTGAAGGGAATTCTATTTTAAGGACAATTTAAAGACCTTTTTCATTCATAAACACAAATCCCTCCGTCCATCAACTTGCTCAAAATCTAAACTAATCATCATTTGTACTCACGTTCAATTAGCAAACCTACTCTTTGTTTAATATGACTCAATTGTTATTAAAAATGTGAATGTGGAAGGTAAACTAAAAGTCAAATAGTGTTTGTTTTTCTCACCTGAGGGCAGCAGGTGTGCGTGTGTGCAGCTCTCAGGCAGTAGGAGGGAGGGATGCTGTTCTCGTCTCTCTGGTACTCCCTCTCCAGCTCCGTGGTGCTGACCCCCGCCTGCTGGCTCTCCTGTAGCAGCAGCTGGTACTCTGACACCTCCACCTGGGTGGGCAGGCTGGCTGTGCCATACTGGTGTCCTATCAGAGCCTGCAGCACCGCCAAGTGGACGCATAGGGGAAATGCAGCATAACAGATACTGAATGTTTTAGCACTGATTATTGCACACATTTAGTTGTGTTTAAATATTCATTAGGCTTATATATGACAACTTTTTTTTTTTAACTTCTAGGTGTAACTGGGATGTGAATACCTTTGCTTTTCTTGATTTGTGGGGAGAATTATTAAGTATAGAAAAACATTTGTGTTATTGTATTGTGGAATTAAAACATAACAAAGGTGCCTCTGTTGTTTTGTAAGCAAAATAATTGACTTGTGGTTGACATTTAATTTGATTGAGCTAAGAGGAAGGTCACAAGAAGTGGTAATCAGAACCAGACAGATGTATCTGAGTGTGAGCTGCTCTAATTTTTGTAATGCAATAAAAAGCAGTGTGTTGTTTGGCTCAGTTGTTTGTGTGATGATGGCACCAGAGACTACACAGCTCAAATGGCACTATGTTTGTTTTTCAAATCACCACATGGTCCCAAGAACCTTGAAATGTTTCACTTCCAATACCAGGAAACCTCAAGAGTTTACAAAGTTTATTTTTGGCAGTTTGCACTAAGTGGTGTTAAAAGGTTTTCATGGCTGCCACCAGTTCACTGTGATTGAATGTAATATATTTGAAACACTAGGAGGAGTGATGCTGCACTACCTTCAATCGTAGCTAAGTGAATCCTGGTGATTCATTTACCAGTAGAAAAGGTCCAGCGGAGCTCTCTCTGCATTCTTTGATAAGCTGCTGTCTGATTTTTATATCCGGCCAACGACTGGAATCACTGGACTCAAATGGGTCTATTACCTGCATACACACACACACGCACGCACGCACACACAAACACACGCACAATGCAATGGTTAAAACAAGTAGAGAGATGGTTGATAGTCAGTTTTTCAAAAGCACAAAACAACAGGTAACTAACAATCAGCCTGCTCCTGGCCCGTTGAAATATGATATTATTCCTTCTTTATAATCAAACATGCAGCTGAAAAGAGATGATGGCACAATGTGCTGGCTGTACTGACACACAAACAAACACACACACAAAAAAATTGCCCACAGTGTCACATTACAGCTGCTCATCCTCTCTACGGTCAAATTTAATTAACAAATCTGAGGAGAATTGACTGCATGTCGGCAAGAATGGCCTCAAGCGAATAGTGTGAAAAATAGACACACGCAGAAACACACACACACACACACACACACACACCTGGGAGCTAATAAATAATGCTGTTTTTTTTTCTGTTCCACTGTTGGCAGTGAGAAACTTCAAGAATGATGCTTTAATTGATCTGAATTAGTGCTTAGTAATAGTACTTATTCATTTTCTGATAACAGATAAAAAACAAGTGTTTGATTCCATTTTTATAAAAACTGATTTGGATCTATAAGTAACTGTTGGACGCTGAAACAACAACTTTAAACAATGAATTTCAACATGTATCAAGAAAATATTCAATTGTTTATAAAATGATGTTATATTTAGCAGATAAGTTGCACCAACAGGGGACACACTACTGTCAACAGAAACAACAAAGTGTTTTGTCCTTTCTTCCACTCCACTGTGACAAAGAAGCAGAGACAATGTTTCCCTCAGTAAACATACAGTTACACACCGAAGAAAAGGTTAGGTGCGCTTTAAAGTCGTTCAGGATTTGAGTTGTTTTGACCTTATTGGGTATCATTACGCAGTAACAACAGTAAATTTACACACACCTCAGCCAACTTTTATTTACTGTGCTAAAATGAAGTACGTTATAAAGCAGTGCCTTCTGAGCTGCAATGACATCACACAAACATGCAATCATCAATGCAGGATTCAAGTTCAGATAAGCGTGTACTCACCCTGAGATCCAGCCCCAGTGTGTGTCTGCAGAGCTCCCGAAGTTTGGGAAACACGTTCTCCCTCAGAGCTCTGCGCTCCACCACGCTATCTACTCAGAGCACAAACAAAAACAAGCATTAAATATGCATAAAAGACACAACTACAGAACAGATTATATGTCATTAGGCCTTTTACAAGTTCACAATATTCAGCTGATGCTTTAGTAAAATGAAGCGTCCACATACCTTCTGGGTTGGAGCACAGATAAAGTTTGACACAGGTCGAGCTGCAGGTGGACCGATCCATTTCTTGTAGTCTAGGATAAGTTAAATCAAACGATTAAGAAGGGGGAAAACATTTGCTGTGAACATATTTTGATTCCCAAAAGGAAAGTTGACATTTTCTGCCTCTCCTCAGCGCTGGCCCTCTCTCTTCTCCCTCCTCATGCTCCACGCAGGAAACTCAGGCCTCCAGTGTTTACAGAGTGTGTGTTATCATGATCACACCCACCTCTAGTGAGTTTCTATTCAACACATCAACACAAATATGAAGGACACAGAGTTAGATACAGGACGGCAGAACAGAGCACACGAACACACACATTACAAAAAAGAGAGGAAAAAAAAGCATAAGGACATCAAAACAAGTTTTCAATATTTTTTTATTAATTAACATTTGTACACAATAAATACAAACTTTGTTTTTTGTACAGCCAATAATAATATGCTGAAAGACCTTTGCACCGGTTCTCATTATTGTCAACATGGCAACAGTCTATGAAAAGAGAGAGAGAGAGAGAGAGAGAGAGAGAGAGAGAGAAGGCCTGTTGGTTAATCCCAGCAGCTGTGCAGCTGCTCCAAAGGAAGGGAAATCAAATGATATAAAACATGAAACCAAAACAAAAGGCCAATACCAAAAAATGTTTAGACTGTAGTTGTCGAAAAGGACAGTTAAGAAGGGGGAAATAATCATGTGGTAAGTGGCAAGAAAAATCCATAAATATAACATCTGATAGTTTAACAGAGCGTTCTCGTTCTGCTGTAAACGGTCAACTCAAATAGCTTAAGTAGAGGCTGCTGTTCTGTTCAGGTCGGCCTGATAACACTTTGACAAGCTGATGTCATTTCCTGCAACACAAGAGGAGTAGAGTTCGGGATCTGAAACAGATACTTGTTCCCACAGGATTTATTTTTAGAGTTTTCTCTCTATACTACACACTAAAACCATGAAGTAAGTACTTCATATCAATCCTTATACTCTGTTGTGTGTTTGCACATCGTATGAATAAAATAAATGTTATCCTTTTAATCCAACAGGAAATGTGCTATGATACTGCAATGCCTGGTAACAATACACCGGCCTCATAAATAAGCCTCCTCAAAATGTTTAATGTTTTAATTTCCAGAGCTGTCTCACGCTAGAGCAGGATTCATTTTCATTGTTGCCAGCTTTCCACTCGCTTGTTGCATTTCGGGAAAATAATGTGAGTGTTTTTTTTTTAGTTTAAAAAGTATTCAGTGCTCTAAGAAAGTAAACCCTGGTTTAATAAATAGGGGGGGGGGGGTGGAAATGGGGCACCTTTTTACATCTTCAGCATCAAACACCAATCAGTTTGAACATCCAGACTATAAAACCACTTTCTCTCCAAGTCTTCATTCAACAACAACCCTAAGCAGGGCTTCTTTGTTTCTCATAAGTAGAAAAAAAAACACCAAATGACACTCTCATTTCTCAATCTCTTTGAAAGAGATAATAAAAATAAAAACAGAAACTCATCAGTCACACTGAAATAAAAAAAAGGATCCACCACAGAATCAGAATGAAAAGAACAACCCTGATTTCTGTCATCAAGTCTGAGTCTAAGTCTCTTCTATGCATTCTGATTCTATGTTAAGGTAGTGCTACTTTCCAGGAAAGGAGGGGTACAAATAAATAAAAGTGCTACACTGACTCTTTAGGCAAAGGAGCTTTAAAGGCTTGAGGGGTATATAAGGGGGAGATTTATTTACTTTGAGTAAAAAATAAAAAATAAAAACATAATAGAATTGTACGTAGCTTCATTTGAATGTCGTTTGCTATTTCTGTCCATTGAGCATGATGCATACTTCTCTCTTTTGTTTACTTTTTCTCTCTTCCACTGTAAGCTGAAGTTGAAATGTGAGACACGTAAAAACAAAAAGATCACACTTAATTGGGCATTTTAAATGTGTAGATGTTATCTCTTCTGTAATACAAACTCCCATAGTTAGTTTCTAATACAGCAGAGAAGCAGTGATTTGATGGAGTTGCATGGCAGAACAACAAAAAATTAAAATAAAAAAACCTTCAGATGTATTGCATTTAGGCTCCGATGGATATATGTGCACAAAATCAGTGTGAAAAGAGATATGATCCATAGGGATACACGCTTTACAGTTCACTCTGAATTTAATAAAACCTTCTGCAGCTTATATTATCAGTGTCCATATCATCTCAAATAAATCCTTTCTTCGTCACCACATAGTGAATACCAACAGTTTCAGTGCCTTGGAAAGCACCAGGAGCCTCCTCTTGAATCAATCAGTGATACAAGCGCACAGAGGGCCACAGAATGACAGTTATAGCTACGTGTGTGTGTGTGTAATATAATGTTGCTGTATGTGTGTATATGATTGCCACCGATTCACACCGACTGCCAGCGGAAAGAAGAGACATTAGAGAAAAGAGGGAGACAAAGAAAGGAAGGATGGAAAGAGATTTCTGAAGAAGAAACGAGCAGAAGGGAGGATCCAGCCTCCGTCTTCTCTCTCGTTCGTTCGCTCTCTTCTTCCCTCTCCTCTTTCATCTCGCCTTCATACTGTATATACAATGCCCTTTCAGAATCACCACTACATATCAGAGATGGTTTTTCCATTCAGCAGAGTTAGTCTATATGAAACGCTGTGCATAACATTCCTATGACAACAGTAATGTACTGTACTAATACACATTGAATACGTATGATGAGAAGGACTATATATGGTGAGGGTAGGGCTGGCCAGGGGAGAGGGGGCTCTGCGTCCACACACAACCCAGTTTCTCTGTCCATTTACAAAACCCCAGCTGCACTCTAAAAATGACACGTTTGGCAAGTTTTGTACTTTTTTTACTCTCATTTAGCTTACTTTTTACTCAATGTATCGTTTAAGGTGAATCAAAAAATAAGTTATATTGTTACTACGACATTTTTATCTTCCTATCCTTGCGGCTTGGCGCAAATTTGAATAATTTATCTTTACTCCAATTGTCCAACATTTCCAATATCCTTAATAAGGACTCATAACTAGCTAGCTAGCTAACAAACATTTGTGGCCAAACACGATGAGAACAAACCTCTTTTGTAATCGACCAGGCTGAAGTTTTGGCATAAGGTAAAACAGACTTTCACCTCCAACATACAGTACGACATTATGCTGTAGCTTCAGGCTAAACTCTTGAAAGAGTATCCTAAGCCTTTTAGCCAGGAAGCTACTTGCCAGGCTAAAGTATTTAGCTAGCTGCCTAGCTTTGTTAGCCTACCAGCTAAAATGCTTTAGCGGCTTTTATAAGAGTTTATTCACTGGAAGTCTTTGAATACTATAGTCATGTCACAGACGTATGTAGTAGAGTATCTGGAGGATTAAATTTAACAAGCACATGCTTGTTTATGATTCTGAAGACACTTAGTCTTTGCTCAGTAACCAGCTCATAAGTCTGACTCTCAGGGTGTTTAACTATCAATGTTTGAAGTCAAGCTTGCTATCCAGACAATCCTTCCCATTTCTCCAAAAGTTACAAAGTCCATCTTATATGTCTGACTTGCCTTGTATTCCTCACCTACATTTAGTAAGTTCCAAGTCTCCATAATGCTCCTCATGTGTTCTTATTATTTGTTAGTGAGTGAGTGAAAAAGTGTAATTTCTCAAACACATCTAAATATTCCTCCTGTAAATACAAAAAAACAGCATTAAAGTCATCTGGAAGTAAGCTAAAGAGGATAAAAGAAAACTTGCCAGACCTATCAAGAACTTTCCTTCACACAACCCCTCACATAACATTCTACTTCCTCTTCAGTGTGCTCGGGCTCGCCGCCCGATGAGGTGAAGTTTTAAGGCAAGAATGGGAGGAGGGGAGAGGGCAGGGCGGGATTTGGGGGCAGCTACTGCTGCACTTCATTAAGAAGCTAATACGGAGATAATTTGATTGGATACTCTTGTTCTCCCTCCGTTGCTGCTCTCTTCCTCAACTTGAGGATGAGAGGAGACGCAGAGAGGCCGTGGGCGGAGGACGTGGTTCAGTTCAGTTGACTTCACATCACTTTATTTTGGCTGACTTCAGTTCAGAGCAGTTCAGTTCCCCAGCCTGTAGGTATACATATGTCTGTCATCTGTTTATATTTTTTATATCTCTATAATCGCCTGCCAGCTCGGCTGTTTGTCACACCAGTGTGATCTCCACCTCCTCTGTTTTGTCGCTCTTCTCCTGCTGTCGGCGGGAGTGTTGTTTGGGTGGAGGAGGAGCAGCTCGCACCTGCAGTGTTGGAGAAAAAAAACAAACAATAAAGGAAAGTTTGAGCAAAAAGGAAAAGTAAGAAAAACGGTTGTGCAGAAAATAACAGGGATGCCCTACTTCTCCTCATGTGACAAACATCCTAACATTCATTCCTGCTGTGGGACATGAATCTTCTCACCAGAAAGCAAACATCCTCCTTCTATTTTTGAAGACTTTTGTTTTGAATAAACACATTTTGGTCCGACATTATAACAAGGGTTCTCAAGCAATAGTACAAACAACAGTTATGTAACATGTACTCTTCACCTCAGAGTTTTTAATAAAGATTTTGTTGTATTGAGCTGCTACTAATGATTGATTAAGATAGCATCTCTGCATCTAGACAGCATCTTCACTTTGATCTGTTCTGTTTCAGATTATTACCATATCACACTGCTTCTCCAATTAATAGTTTACATTTCAGTTCATGCTGATGAATGCCTTATTTAACAGATCAACCCTCTTGTTTCTATGAACCTTCTTATCTAGGAGCCGAATGTTTTTAAGTTTACTCTGACATCTTCCTTTGTGAATCTCACATCTTGTTTCAAAAGAAACTGTAAGCTCCCATCGGGGGGACCCATCAGAGTTTCTTGTCACAAACTACTGACAACAAAGTAAAAATAAAAACATGAAAGTCTTGAACCCAAAACACACTTCTTGAATATAAATCAATGTTATACTAACAGGCCGTAGTTTGCTCAGGCCTCCTTCAGGGGTGAATCTCAGAGGCTGAGGAAATCCTGGAGACACTGGACTCCTGCCAGAGCTTTGATCTACAAAGAGAGAGAGAGAGAGAAAGAGAAAGAGAGAGAGCGAGAGAGAGAGAGAGGAGGTTTTTATAAACTCACAGTAAAACGCCACAATGACCTCTTCTCGATTACC